AAAATCAAGAAAAAATCCAACAGAAACAAAAAGTATTTACTAAGCTTCTAAAGGGAATCCTTTAGTAATGATGCACCATGGAAGTGAATTATTTTTAATAATAATGTTACATAATATGGAAGAAAATGAACTTTTTATCCAATCATATTTTGCTATGTAGTAGCTGGAAAATATATTTTTTTAAATGTCTTTCCATTACTCAAGGTGTGATAGAATGACAGGGAAAAACATTGTGATACTTTGATTTTATATCAAAACAAACATTTTAAGCTATTATTTTTTCTCTTTTTTGACAAAATTTTTTTCATGAATATTCATATTTTTCTGAAATAAAGAATAATTTTACTTGGCTTTTACAAATTGGTATTAAAATATTAACACAAAAATATAACTTCCACATAAACTCATGTTCAGGGCCTTTTCTTTTTATATTTATAGCATCAACCACAATGATTAGAGTGGTGTTCTGAAATGTGTTCTCAAGATGAGCTGATGACTTTGTTTTTTCTCCAGTTCCAAGAATAAATAATAATAAAGTCATACAGGGCATTTTGTTACAAAGTTAAAACATAATCAAAGGCAAGTTAAAAAGGGACATATGCTTCATCAGACTAAATGGCTTATGTTTCCATTAAGTCAGAAACACAGGTTGTAGGCTTTATAGTTAGCCAGGGTTCATTGAAAGCTGGCTATACCAGCTAACACAGAACTGCAGAGCTATTGAATAAAGGAGTCTTCTGAACTTTTGTCAGAAGCAACTTTAGATATAACAGAATCCCTCAAACCTTATCAACTCAACAAGTGATGCAACTGAACACAACACAAATAATAGCAAATCAAGAAATGAAATTCTGAGTTCTATGATTTTCAACTTTATAGATTCTATCTGGAGTTGATAACACAATTTAATATTTATCTGTCAGGTAACAACAGAAAATTAGCTCTATTATATTCAAGAAAAAAAGTCATCACATTAAGAACATAGGAACAAAAATATACCTGACTGTTAGACCTGAAAGAGATATTAGAAGTCAACATTGAATATTTAGAAAATTATTGCTCTGGATGACCATTTTTAAAGGGGAGATCCTAAGAACCAGTTACAAATGTGCAAACTTTAAAAATAGAGTACGTGTTCCTAAGGACAATGATGCTATCTATAGCTGTAAAAATTGTCTCACAGGACACTTCTTCAAGAATCAAGGACTGCTGAGAACAAACTATTAGGATTATTTTCTAGAGACTAAAGAATCAGGATATTTGTGTGCAAATCAGCTTTATAGTTGAACAGAATAGGTCTTGAGTGCAGCCACAATGTGACGCCATCAAGTTGAAATGGAGTCTAAGTGAACAGGGGAGGGAACAGGAGGTAGTTAAGAGCTTGAGTCCAAATATCACATAACCTGTTCTCCAGGCATCCACTCAGCCCAAAGGGTATTTAGAAACGATCTCTCACCTGGATAACAAGCCCTTTATGATTTATTATGTACTTTTTATTGATTAACTGATAGATAAATGACATTAATTTCATACCAGAGAACATACACAGTTGATGCTCACCAATTTTGATAAACAAACTATAGACTATTTAACTTTGACTCCTGTATTTCAATATTTATTTTTTTAAGGCATATACTGTTTCTCAGATTTTGAGGGATGTCAGTACACTAAAAACTCCATAATTTCCATGTAAACAATTTAAAATTAGTGTCTGACATTATTTAAAAAATTAACTGAGTTTATTTGTATGTAGATTTATAATTTTTGAATGATCTAACTACCAGTGGTATCATATAGACTTGTCTTGAAATATCTATTGTTTGATAAAAGGACAATTTATTAACCTTGATTAAATTGTCTGTCAAGCCTTTCAGAATTTTATTTTTTGTTTGTTTAGTAAACTCTTCCCAGTTTTAAAATTTTAGTAAAATATAGCTAATTTTTTTCAAACAACAGTGGTATGGGGGCTTTTATTCTTAAATCAACAGTAAGTTATAGTAAGTTCATATTTGATGAAACATGTGGTTTATAATCATGATAAAATTGACTTATATGAGTGTTAATTAGTATTACGAGTATTAATCATGCTGCAAAACCTCAGCAAATCAAAAAGAAAGGCAGACATGTATACCTTTGCCATTATACTACAGTACTATATTACTACTCTTTCCTTATCCTCTGTCTTTTGAGAATATTTAAGGATTTTTACCCAGAGAATGTGCCTGTGTTTTCTTGGGAAAAAAATAAAATTGGTTACAACAAATAATAACATATATCTAATTAGAATAAGTTAAAATAGTGCAGGCATGATACAACTTTCAATAGATTCTTGATTTAAAAGCATTAATTATGTGTCTGGCAAAGCAGTTGTCCCTAATGTACGTTTCAAGACATCTGTGAAAACTCATAAAGGAAATGCTAAGAATAATGTAACACACATTTTCTTTACATCTCTTTAGCTGGTAATTCCACTAGGCAATCTAGTAATTCTGTGTAGATAATGATTAAGTTGTGAATGAGATATTAAATCACCATGTAAGAAACAACTTTTGTTGTTGTTTTGTTGTTTTCCTCAAACAATCTCAAAATCCAATTTTATCTGAATTGCTTATTAATATCCTTTATGTCCAAAACATTCTGAATAAAATATGAAAGTCTTTGTCAGTGCATTACAGCAAAGGTGGCTGTAAGGTCAGTTCGTGTTGAGTGTGGTCACAGGTTAGAGCTGTGATTTGTGCAGCTCTGCTGTGCAAGTGGAGCTCTTGCTTAGATTTGCTGTTGAAATTACAGTAAGTGTGATGTATTATAATTTTTTAAAATTAAATACTATTTATAGAAGTATAACATGCATATAGAAAACTTTAACAAATTGAATACTACCAGCACACCAAAATTCCTCCTTGAGATATCTCCCAGTTGACAATACTTCTCCCCAAATTATCCACTATCCTGGTTTCTAATTCTACATGTTAGTTTTGCTACTTTTGAACTTAATACAAATTTTGTAGAAATTATTTTCTTACGTATTCTTTATATATTCTATATAAGTGATATTTGTGAGTATATATCTTGTTACATGTAGCAGTAATTCATTCATTTTTTTGCTCTGTTAACACTCAATTCTATTAATATACCATAGATAATTCATTTATTCTAATGTTGATAAATAACTGGGGTAGTTTACAGTTTGGGGCCATCATGAATGAAACTGCTATGTCATTCTTATAATGAATTGCAGAATCACAGGCTATGCACATGACTAACTTCAGCAGATAATGCCAAACAATTTTCCAAAGTATTTTACCAATTTACACTCCTGCTACTGATATATGTGAGAATTCTAGCTATTCTGCATTTTTGCCAATAATTGATATTGTCAGTCTCTTTAATTTTTTTTTTTTTACTTTAAGTTATTCGAGTGAGTTTGTAGTGATATCACATTATGGTTTTAATTTATAACCCCATTATATTGATGAAATTGAATACTTGTTTATGTGTATATTAGCCATTTAGATGTCCTATACAATTTTTTTCCCATTTGTATTCCCTGTCTTCATTTCTATTGAATTATAAGGATGCCTCATACATTCTAGATATGAATCTTTTGTTGTCGAAATGTATTACAAATATCTTTCTCCACTTTGTGCTCTTTTTTCATGCCCTTAATAGCATCTTTAAATGAACAGAAATATTAAACCAAGATCAGGAGGACATTTCCCTTTCTAATTATATCATTGTCATCCATAATTTACATACTTATATGTAAAAACACAGAAGGGAACCTTAATTTTTTCCGTTTATACCATTCAATTGAGAACTGAATTTCTCTGCTATTAAAAAATAACTCATTCCTTCCACATAGTTTGAAAAGAGCCCTACCCAGCTTCATCATTCTTTTCATCTGACAATTTGTGTGTCAAGAATCATCAGCAGCAGCATGCCTAGCTAGGTGACACCCTGAGTAGATCATTATCATGTAATAATCATGAAATGAAGAACATAATACAAATGCCTAGAAAGAGAACAAAGACAGTAAAGGTTTTATTTACCAAACTTAATATATACACATACATAATATATATATATGTATTCATATAAGTAAAACAAATTAATGAATACAACTTTGGAATTTTTATTACAGTCCATAAAAGGAACGATGTGGCTGATTAGTATTCTTAATTATATTACTGTATCTTTTAGAGATTAGGAAAATAGACATATATTTTCAACAGCTCTAATGAGTTAAAATAACTTTAAATTTTATATTTGCAAGTATTAATCTATGAATTTGTCAATGACTTTATTAAAATGAATCTTCTTAAAATATTTATTGTCAATAGACAATAGAGCCAAATTTGTAACACTACCTCTACTCATAGTTGATTGAGAAACACTTGAACACTTGTTATTTATTTCAATTTCAGAAGTTTCTTTTACATGATACAACTCATATACACAGTTTTAAAATATTTAAAATACAAGAAAAAGTTTGGCAGAGAGTGATAAAAATCCCATTTTACAGTAAATTCCAGACTGTGCTGTATTTCCTTACATTTTGGTTTCTTTAGGATTAATTCTAGAAGCTTCCTACATTTTAAACACAGATAAAAGAACTTGTTTGTTTCTTCATTTTACAATCACTAGACTATCACTGTTTAGTTCTGCTTCACTATTTAACTGTGCTTGGAGAGAGCTTAAATGATTCCATATCCTTATAAACTCATTGTTGAAACAAATGCATGTATCAAGCCCAGCTGTATAACTGAGAGTTAAATTCCATGTAAAATACAATGTTTACTAAAGGATGAGTAATAAAAATGTGCTAATTTGAAGCTTACATATATATTATTAAAACTCAATAGTAACCATAGCAATTGTTTAGAATTTGGAACAACACATTTTTTTGGAAGAAAAATTTTATTGCTGACTTGAGTCATGGTGTTAATAAGAAGCAGACCAACTTTAGTCAAATTTTATTATTGTTTTTAAATTCTCTACAGACAGTGCACATCATGGATTGCCTATGCTGCAGATGGACTGCTCCCACTGCTTCGTCTTTGACTTGCCTCTACCAGTCACCGTGAGTGTTCTAAGATTAATAATCCAAATGTTAAACTCACTACTTTCTTTAATGAATTTCTGAATGACGTCATTATTTAATGACAGTGCACTGTGTGAGAGGAACATCTCTGTTTCACATGCAAAACATTAAGTTTTTCTTCTTGAATATACCATTGACATCATTAAATGGTATTCAGCTTGCCTCTTGGGGAACAGATGTGTAGTACTTAGGTGAGGAAGATTTATCACAAGCATAATAATATTCTCACTTTTTATATTTATAAAACTTATTTGAATTTATAAGCTTTTTAATGTTTATCATAGTGTCATAAATTGCTCATTTTCCTCACTCAGTATCTTCAAAAATAATTTTAGTATTAGCAAAAATAATTCTTTACTTTTCTATGTAATCTATAGCTTCCACAAACTTCAGAACATTTTCAGGTACATATGCATACAAACCAAAACAGAATTATAGCTTCTTATTGTCTTTACAGTTCAGGTATTATTTATGTTTTTCAACTGAGGAATCAATGATTCAGAGAACATTAACAATTTGTTTGAGTTCATGTGTTTATTCTTTCAACAAATATTTATTTAGTTCTCATTCCATGCCAAGATCTATGTGAGGAAGTGGGAATAAAACAAGGTGCATGAACAGTTATTTCCCTCAAAGAATTTTGAATGAAAGTAATGGCTAAACTTGAACTTGACCCAAACCCTTGACCTGTTACTCTTTCCACTCCACATTGCCCCTGTGAACTTCAAAGAGCTTGGGAAGAAGAAATGCAAAATCCTTACAAGAATATATTCAAAGTAAAAACATTATTGAGATTACATCTTTTATATCTTAACAGCTTCATGCCTCTGACCTCTTGGTTTCGGGCTCTTGACAACAGGCTGAATACAGTTCATTATATCTTCTTATTAGACAATACAAAACATCAGTGAGGAAAGCGAGATATACGCTTTTAAATGCAGAGTATTAGAATTTATTCTAAAGTGTGCTAAGGGCTGTGTCTTTATTCCTTCTGATAAGAACTCAAAATAAAAGAAAAAATTCTGTTTAATGGTTGTAACTACATTGATTTTTTTAAAAAAATCTTTGTCACAGCAAATGTAAAAGTTTTTTTTTTTCTTAAAACAATTATTTTCATTGTGAGATGATAACATTTGCATTCTACCAGCCTTCTAGAGGGAAAAAAGCAGAATACAGTATTATGTTTATTATTGTGTAAAAACAGTGGTGTGATTGCATAATAAGTGGAAAAGAAAGAAAATGGACACGATGTCATTATACTATACTGTATGCTATTAAGAGCAGGTGGGAATTAAGCAAGTTTTGTTTGCTTGTCCAAAGTTCTTTCAAAGTAGCTTCTTAAGTAGTTGATGTTTACAGTGTGAATAATTTTTTTAAGTTAAAGAAACAAGTTTTTTGGTTCTAAGGTGCCATCTTTTAAAAATGTGAGAAAAGAAAAATGAACTAGAAAAAAAATAGAGTGCAATTAATCAAAATGTTACTGTTTACCAACTTCTTCTTTTAATAATTATGGGATGAATGAATAAAGCCTTTCTCATATGACTTACCTTTCCTTTCAAATTCTGCACATTTGCAAGTAGGTATATTTGTCTACTGATATTATTACTTTTATACCTTAGTGCGATATAAAGGACTTTGAGTTTTCATTCTGCATTGAACCTAACCTCATACTCAATATCTGCATAATTGAAGAAGGGTAATATTGGGGTGTAGCAGGAACTAAGTTAGAGCATTTATTGTAAGCCTGAGAGATCTTCCTGATGACGGAGCCTCATTTATTGAGTGGTTAATAAGAATAACCTTTCCTTCTCAGAAATATCGGGAAAAAGTACAGTGTATTGGTCAGAGTCAGTCAGATGTGGGATAGAATCTCAGCTTACTGCTTTCTAAAAGTGCAATAACAATATAGAATACAGTATTTGTGCCTCAGGAATTTTATGGCTTTTTTCCTGAAACCATGAAGTTTTCCCTACAAATTGTCTGGAACCTAGTAAATACTTGGACAGTGATAGCTTTTGTTGTTATTGATATTAATATATAAAGATCAAATCAAATGATGGATGTGAAATACTGTTCACAACTGTTCATGTGCAATTTACAGTTTCTATTATTATTATTATTAATCATTAACTTTAAAAGATGTAGTAAATCATAATTTTTTTCAATAACCCACAGTTTCTTTCTTAGCTAAGGATAACAGAGGGTATCTTAGAGTTAGGACATAGATAGCCAAATCCCCTTAAGTTAACATGATTTTTCACATTCTCCAAATTCCCACACTATTGTCATATTTGACTACATATAGCAAGTCCAAGAAAGAATAATGATGTTGCTAAAATTAAATATAATCATATATGACTTACCTGTTTTATACAGCCAGCACCTATAATGTCATAATGACAGAATGAATATTCAATTAAGTTTTTTTTAGACTCAGTAACAGTTATTTTCATTAAGAATAACATCTTTTTAATTATAGGTTGTCTGTATTCAAGGCATTCTTAACAATTTCTAAGCTTTACAAGAGTGAGGATCAATTGTAAAGTTGCCCTGTATTTAACATAGCCATGCCCTAAAAAATCCTTGGTTCTACAAAGCATTTACTGAAATCAAGATGTACTTTTAAAATCCATGTAGAGAAGAAACTCTATTGATTCAACTACTAGCAAGTGGGAAGCATAATGATTAGTGAGCAAAAACAAAATCTAACCATGTTCAGAGAGAGAAACAGAGAACACACATCAATAGCTCAGCTAAATGACTCAAATTCCTGCTAACACCATACAGAACACCGATTAGAATTGTTGCTTCTGCAATTCTGGTAAAACACTCCATGACTATAGTATACGTGAAGTATACTGCTTTTTCCCATGTGACAAAATAGTCTCCCACATGAAGTGTTTTTTTTTTAACTATGTTATGTTCTAGCCATAAAAAAAAATCATTCAATTTGTTTAACCCCACCAAAAAGAAAGAAAACAGTTCACTCATTTCTCTCATTCACCCGTAACCGTGTCTCTTGCAACCACCTATCTGGTCTCTATATCAGTGAACTTCTATTTATTTTCTTGGTTTCTTTTTTGAATTCCATGTGTAAAAGAGATAATATAGTATTTATCTTTCTCTGATTTATTTCACTTAATGTAATGCCCTCAAGGTTCAGAATTTATTCACACAGCCTTTGATAGACACTTAGATTGTTTCTTAACTATTACAGTTAATGCTGCAATAAACATAGAAGTGAAATAGCTTTTCAAATTAGTGTTTTTGTTTTCTTTAGATAAACACCTAGCATGGAATTACTGGATCATAAGATAGTTATATTTTTAATTTTTTGATAAACCTCCATACTGTTTTCTAAGTTGCTAAACCAGTTTACATTCACATTAACAGTACACATGAGTTCCCTTTTCTCCACATCCTCCCCAACACTTATTATTTCTTGTCTTTTTGATAATAGTCATTCTAACAGGTAAGAGGTGATATCTCATTGTGGTTGTGATTTGCATTTTCCTGGTGATTGGTGATGTTCAGCATCTTTTCATGTATCTGTTGGCCATCTGAATGTCTTTGTTGGAAAAAAAAATGTCTACTCAGGTCTTCTGCCCACTTTTTAATTGAATTGTTTTGTTGTTGTTGTTGTTGTTATTGAGTTGAATGGGTTCTTTGTATATTTTGGTTATTAGTCCCTCATCAGATATATGTATTGCAATTATTTTCTCCCATTCAGGAGGTTGCCAGTTCATTTTTTTGATGAGTTCCTTTGCTGTGCAGGTTTTTAGTTTGATGTAGTTCCACTTGTTTATTTTTCATTTTGTTGCTTTTGCTTTTGGCATGAGATTCAAAAAATCATCACCAAACCTGTATCAAGAAGCTTCTGCCTATATCTTCTTCTAGGAACTTCATAGTTGCAGGTCTTATGATGAAGTCCTTAATCCATTATGAGTTAATTTTTATGTATGGTATAAGATAATGGTCCAGCTTCATTATTTGCATGTGGCTGTCCAATTTTGCCAACTTCATTTATTAAAGAGACTGTCCTTTTCTTATTGTATTATTATTGGCTCCTTTGACATAATTTAATTGAATATATATATGTCTGTGTATACACACACACACACACACACACACACACACACACATACATAGGTTATTTCTGGGCTCTCTATTCTGGTCCACTGATCTATGGGTCTATTTTATGCCAGTACCATACTGTTTTAGTTAGTATACCTTTGTAATATAGTATACCTTTGTAATATAATGAAATCAGGAAGTGTTATGCCTCTGGATTTTTGTCAAGATTGCTTTGGCTGTTTGGGGTCTTTTTCGGTTCCATACAAATTTTGATTTTTTTATTCAATTTCTGTGAACAATACCATTGGAATTGTCATAAAGATTGCATTGAATCTGTAGATTGCTTTAGGTAGTATGGACATTTTAATAACATTAATTCTTCCAATCCATGAGTATGGAATATCTTTTTATTTATTTGTGTCCTCTTCAATTTCTTTCAGTAGGGTCTTATAGTTTTCAATATATAGACTTTTCACCTCATTGGCTAAATTATTCCTAGGATTTTATTATTTTATGCAATTGTAAATGAGATTGTTATATCAATTTTTTTTCTAATAGTTCACTTTAGTGCAAAGAAAGACAATAAATTTTTTCATATTGATTTTGTATTTAGCAACATTTCTGAATTCATTTATTAGTACTAACAGTTTTTTGATGAAGTCTTTAGGGTTTTCTATATGTAGTATCATGTCATCTACAAATAGTGACAGTTTTATTTCTTCCTTTTCCAATTTGGATGCCTTTTATTTCTTTCTCTTGCCTAATTGCTCTGACTAGGACTTCCAATACTGTGTTGAATAAACAATGTTGAGAGACAGCATCCTTGTCTTGTTCCTGATCTTAGAAGAAAAGCTTTCAGCTTTTCACTATTAATAATATTAACTGTGGGTTTGTCTTATAAGGCC